TTGGTAGATACAGACTAACATTGCTGGCCCTCAGACTAGAAAAGGGTTGTGACTAGCTACCTTGCAAACAACTTGCAGTAGCCGAGATCGACTACGTTGTCTGTTAATAGCGGACAGTGGGAGGAAACTGTAGACAGGGTTTGCCTTTTTGAATGAGGATCCTCAGCTATGGAATTTCTCTTCATTCACAGGCAAGACTAGGTAGGCCAGCAATGGGCAACCAAAGGTAGTGAGTGGGCCTCCTTCATTTCAGTGGTGAGCAACCTGCAGCCCATGGCCCACTGCGGTTCCACCTGTGGCCTGCATACCCTATCTGCCTCTCTTCCCCCAGGCACTTCTCATGCACTAGGGCACTGAGGCCCCACACATCTGACTCCTCCCCTTCCCTCTCAGCACTTTTGGAGAGCCATGAATCTGCTGATCTGTGTTCCATCCCTTTTCCTCCCACCTCCTCCTAGAGCCTAACCAGCCACAAACAGCTGATCCGCAGTGCTCACGCTCTGGGAGAGAGGAAGAGAAGTGTGGATGGAGCACGAATCAGACAATCCATGGTGCTCCAGAAGGGAGGGTGGGGGAGGAGTAGGAAGCACAGGGCTCCAGCATCCCACTGTGCAAGGAGGAGAGGGAAGAGAGGGGGTGTGCGGGCCACAAGTGGAACCCCAATGGGTGGCAGACTGCCCATAGGCCACAGGTTGTCCACCACTGAGGTAGGCTGATATTCAAGGTGCACCACAAAGCCTGTTGTCTTGGTTATTTCTGGGCTGAAGGAGAGAAACCAGCTTTATTTGAGCTGGGGAAAACTAGTAGTGGCCTTTGTAATAATTCTTAAAACATTTTATATGTACTTAGAGGACAAATCTATTTCCATGTCTTTAATATTAGTGTATATATTTTACGTAATCTGAGATGCCAATCTCATGTACAAGTCTAGCAGTGCCTTGACAGTACTTGTATGAACAAATTATTCAAGATACATGACCATCATATCCCGCAGAAGAGGAAACTGATGACCCAAAACACAAATAAAAGCAAGATTCATTCAGCAGCAGGGATGGAACAAAGAGCAGAATCTGATATGCAAGCCACAAAGAGATCATTGTTCACCACTTGCGGGCCTGGAAGGTTTTCAAAATTGAAAAAAAAAAAAAAAAAGCAATGTTATGCTTAGAGGTCTGCACAGATACACAAGCATGGCTCTGCATCAGCCAGAATCAACATGCATCCAATCCACGGTCCACTAGCTGCTGTTGTGAGCAGCACGCCATGTCACAAGGGCTAATGACAGGGGAAGGGCCGGGCTCATGAGCAAGGGTGGCAGCAGCAGCGTGTGTTGCATCACAGCAGGGCAGAAGCATGGGGCATGGCACTGGAACCCCACCTGCCCCAATCACTCGGGGTGGGCCCTACTGCCCCAGGAACCAGCAGGCTGGGAGCATGGCTAGTGCTGGTGAGCTGGGTCACAGTGGGGATGCTGGCCCTGCCTGAGGGGACAGATCTGCTGCACAGGAAGCAAGTCAGCAAGTGGGTGCCACTCAACCCCGATTCCAGCCTGCCACCCAGGCACAATCCCTGGCTGCTGGCCTCTGGCCCTGAGCATGCTGTGCCCCACTGGACTGCGCAGGTGGGACATCTTGGCCCAAGAGTCACCAGTGAGCAGAGCCCTGCATGGTTATATCTGCATCCAATTGACTATTTATGGATATGAAGCAAACCTCTGTGGATCTGCAGGGCTCTACTTATGCTGTGACTATACTGGGGAAGAGAGGAGGATCTGCAGTAACAGTAATTTTATTTGTGCATACAGTGGATAAGAGGAGAATGGTCAAAGAACAGGACTTGGTGTGAGATCTGAGTTCTCACCCAGTTTAGCCACTAACAGGTCTCGATCAAGTTGCTTAACTGACTCAGTTTTCCCATGCAATGCAGGGATGATACTCACCGACCACTCAGAAGGGCTGAGGATTAGTGTTCCCACCATGGTTAGAAGCAAACACATGACATAAGTGTCCTCCTATGTAAGCCCAAACTAATCTGCTCTCACTGCTTTATTATTTCTGTGCTAAAAATTCTAAGCTGTACTTCTGCACTTCCAACATCTGCTCCTTGATATCCCACCAGCTGTTCAAATTGAGCATGTCAAAAACTGAATTCCACTAGGTGGCTTTCACCCTGAGGAAGAAGAGATCTAGCTGAAATCTTTGGGCAAGGTATGATTAGATGCTGCCTGTTTTCCCCATATGTTTTCTGATGTGCAGTATACAGAGTGTATAGAAACTTAGGACATATTTTCTGGTTTCCAGAAGTGTCACTTTGAAATGTTGTACAGTAAAATGCTCAGCTTTACAGGAGATAAATGGCAAATGCTGTATAATATTCAGTAAGGTGAAACTCAGTGCAGACAGCCAGCATGTGATCTAGGCATCACTTAAAGCAGAGGATTCAATCTGTGGGACATGCGCCCCTCAGGTGGTAGGGGAAGCGGGGGACTGCCCAGCGGCAGACCCAATCTGCAAGGCATTTTTTACCGTTTTGTATTATTACATAAGAATACGACCTTGACAATTACACACAGTCTGAGTACATATTTTACAACTGATTTAATCAGATGGACATTTTTGGCTGACACAAGGCCACACATGCAACCCACAAGAGTGTTACAATGTATTTAACTGTAGGTCAATGATCACTTCTACAGCAACAACTACCCCCCCTCACCCCACACACACACTTTTGGTCTAGTACATCATATCCTGTCATTACAACAAGAAGTTGTACAATGCTCGTTCTGCTGGTGAGTTGGATGGTTTTTTATATCATTACATGGCAAAAAATGGATCAATACCAGGGATGAAAGTAAGCTGATTCACCCCGGGGCGGCGCTCCAGCAAGAAGCTGGCCAGCTGGGGCACTTAGCTGCAGGGTGGGAGCAGGGAGCTCCCAGCCAGACTCTCCCCTCTCACTGCTCCCTCCCCCCCACCATTTTGGAGAATGGGGGAGGGGGTGACTGCAGCTGCACATGCCAGGTCATTCACTTATAGTTAAATACTTCGATGCTTTTCCTGCTTCCTCTGACTAGGAGGTGAGGCGAAAGTTCAGAACCTGCTGCGTTCCTCTTGCTCCCAGTTGTCTAGGGGAGGAACACAGAAAGCTCTGCACTTTCCCCTCCTTCCCTAATCAGAGGAAGCAGGAAATATAAAAAGCAACAGCAACCGGGTGTGTGCCATTACAGCCCCACCTCCACACCCCAAAATAACACCTTTGCCTCCCCACACTCACTCCTACACACACCCAGCCCTGAATCCTGCATCCCCATATTTCCCTGCTCCGCACCTCCACATACTCCCAACCCCTGCACTGACTCCCCAACCCCAATCTTCTGCCCTGAGTCTCTCCTCATACCCCCAGCCCTCTACCAAGCCCCTCATCCATCACTCCTGCACCCTCCACATCCCCAGCCCCCTGCCCCAACTCCTGCATCCCTACACCCCAATCCTCTGGCCTGAGCCCCTCGCACTCTACCCCACACTTAAATTTCTTACAGATATTATTGTATTGCAACCCCGACCCCACCCTAAGGTCCCCCCCAAGGTGGAGTGGGTGGTGATAAGACAGTACCTGTAAGAAATGTAAGTTACTTTCACCCTGATTGATATTGATTGCCAAAAGAGAATGGTGTTCAGAAATGAAAGGTAGAAGCTGAAACAGCTAAAGTTGATAGAGAAAAAAAATCTGCAGAAAAATTCAGAAGTGCATTTGGATTTTGGTCTTACTTCTATTGTAGCAGACAGAGAAATTAGCTAGTGTAATGTGTGCAGCAATTTTAGCAAATGATAACCATAAACCAATACAATTAAGACGTCATTTAGAAACAAAACATGACCTGGTAGGAAAGAACAGAGGTTTTTTTCCAAACTAAAGCTACAAGAAATTAACAAAGAACAAACAATGAAAAAAATGTACTGTAAAAGCATCATGTCAACTTGCATACCGCAATGCCAAGAATAGTGTCTTACACAATTGAGAAAGAACTGATTCTTTCAGCAGCAATTGACATTTGCATGGCAATGCTTAGGGACAGGATGGCAGAGAAGTTATAGGGATGTGACTAGTTAACCTATGAGCATCACCCTTACTGATGCTTACTGGTTACAGTTAACTGGCAGAGGCTGGAACAGCCCTGTCCTCAGTGGGTCTGGCCTGACCACAGCATTCCATAGGGGGGAACACTTTAGCCTGACCAGAGCAGCCCATGTCCATGGCATGGGGGCCACTGCAGCCTGGCAGCAGGCAGGGAAAGCCGCTCTAGCCCAGTTGGGCCGGAGCACATTCCTCTTTCTGCCCACCTTGGTGTAAGCAGTTAACTGATTAAACAGGATTTTTATGCCCCTAGTTAAAAATGAGCCAGCTGCTGAATCTGATATGTCAGAAAATATCAATACACAGCTGATCTCTTGATTGCAATCCAGTTGATTTGCAATCCAATTGGATGAAGCAATGTATATTACAAAAGAAACTTGTTTTGTTTACCCAACATAAAAAATAAAATATCAGTATTGGCTTGCAGTACAAAATATCTTCCAATTTAAGATGCATGCAATTAGATCTGAACTGTTCAACTTGTGAAAAGTGAGGCAGTTGTTTAAAATACTTAAGTGGGAATCCTACACTGGAATCTGTACAGAGCCCCTTCTATATCTGGATTTAGGGCAAGCTTGGAAACCAAAGTGTTTGTATTTGATATAGCTGTTGTAACTTGAAACATTGATAAGGAACTTCACTGATATTCTGAGTTCTGCTATTAAAGTTCATGATACAGTCCACAAAGGCAAGTATCTTTGCAATGTTTTGCACAAAAATGGGAGCAGAGCATGATGCTTTGATGTTAACCACTGAAGTCAGGTGGCTATCAAGGGGGAAGTAGTAGAAACAAAGTTCAACTTTTCCTAGTGGATTTGCAGAGACATTTTGTGATTCCCCATTGGCTTGTGCTTTTAGCTTACCTTGCTGATATTTTTGACAAACTGAAGTCTCTAAATGTCTCTTTCCAAGGAGCAGAGAGTACTAATTTTGACCCACACAATAAGAGAACAGCATTCAAGAGAAAGATAGATCTCTGTTCTAAATGTCTCTTTCCAAGGAGCAGAAAGTACTATTTTTGACCCACACAATAAGAGATCAGCATTCAAGAGAAAGATAGATCTCTGGAAAACAAAAATCAAAAGTGGTTTAAGCATTCCATTCCCAGGCTATCGAAAAAAATATAGGTGTGTGTATTAACTCTGCATCAAGTATAAGCAGTTAACTTTCTTCTGAATTAGTTTCACCTGCTCTTTACACAGAGTTGAAGAGTAAATATAAAAAAAAAGTCATGCCATATTTTAGAAGTAAAAACATATTGTCCTCTAAAATTTCTGCAAACACAAAACAAACCCATAACAATTAAGCAAATTGGTTTACAGTCGCTCAGATGTTTTTCAACTTGTCTGTCTATTTTCAGGTTGTAAAAGGTGGTGTTGGGTCCATAAGTGCTTGACAAATGTTACCTAATTTAGAAGTGTTACAAGTGATTAAATTATCTCCAGGCTTGGGTGCTCTCAAATCAATTAATGTCTTGTTTTCAATGGGAAAAAGCTCAAAGCCCTTCCAATATTTGGTTTTGTTGGGGTTTGGTTTTGTTTGTTTTGAGTACAGCAGTTTGTTATTCCGATATTTAAAAATTGGAAATAACAAAGCAATCACTATCCACAGCATGTGCTTTGATAGCTGACAGGAGTTAGTTAACCCTATCCCATAAATGTATAGCAAAACATTAATAGGGTTATTACAGTTTCTGATATTGTACTAATTTAAGTTGTTAGTTCATGTCACAGCATGAAAAGAGATTTATCCGTGACATTTTCCTATTTGAACCTGTTACAACACAACTGCTTTTCTCTTATCAAACCTATCACATCATATGCTGCCTGGCTTTACTCACATGGCAGTCTTATTAATTTTGGTGTGACTGTTAATGTGAATAAAAGCATCAGAGAGGCAGCCGAGTTAGTCTGTAACTGGAAAATCTTAACACAAAATGAATAGTCTACTCTAGCAGCACCTTAAAGGCTAACAAAACATGTAGATGGTACCATGAGCTTTTGTCGGTACAACTCACTTCTTCAGATGAGTTTTTCCATGTGCATAAAGTTACACTTTTTCATGTTTTGAGGATCAGGGCTTTAATCTGTAGCATTATGAGGGCATTTAGCGGTCTTCCTCTTTAGCTGTTGCTAAAACATACTATTCTTCTGAATTATAGATATAAATATTGAAATATAGCCCATTTTATAAATTTACATACAGTACCCAATTCAATATATTAGAGATATAGGCCCTAATTCTGTAGATTTGGTCACAAACATAAGTAATTTTACTCACTGGACTACTCCTACAGGCAAAATTAAGCCCTCCTAGAATTTCAAGGTGACTGTAAAGCTCCATTTAAAAAAAAAAACAGCTTAAATCTTCTCACCACTTTTAATATATTTTAAAGAAAATGATCAGAGATTCTTTTTCATGCTAGGGAGAAGGACAAGACTTACTGATGGCAGTCTCAGAATTCAATGTCATTTGAGACCTTTATCTCACATCCTTACACTTAAGATTCTCCATAGCAAAATTAAACAACAAAAAGCAAATAAGTATTTGATTTTAGTCTTTGTGGTTAAAAAACAATGACTATCTAGGGGGGAAAAGTGCATTGGTATCACCATAAACCATCCACAAACGATGCATTAATTGCAGGTGTACAAGACATTTATTGTGTTTAAGTAAACAGTGATATTAAAACCCTGCAAACATCACCTAACAAAGCAGAATAAAATGCCACACTTGTTCTTTGTAATCTGAACAAAACACACATCAATCATCCCACAGAACATTAGCGTGGGACTCCCTGGCATCATGTGCTCTAACCCAAAATCACTTTCTATAGAGCAGGTTTAAAGGAGCCAGAAAGAGGTACAGAACATAGATACAGGAGGGAGCCATATTATGCTGCAATGTACATAGACATCAGGTCTTAACCCTTCTGACTCACATAGTTGAAGGCCATAGTCATATTAAGGAGCCACTAAGACAGAAAAACAGGACTATGTAGCACTTTAAAGACTAACAAGATGGTTTATTAGATTATGAGCTTTCGTGGGCCAGACCCACTTGCCCACGAAAGCTCATCATCTAATAAATCATCTTGTTAGTCTTTAAAGTGCTACATAGTCCTGTTTTTCTGTCTTAGTGGCTCCTTAATATGACAAAAGATTGTTCTAACATCATGGAAGCCGATGAATGGTATAATTCATACAAAGTGAGCTCCACAAACAACTGACCAGGAACTTGAGAGGCTATAACCATTGGGCCAAACATATCTGGACACACATTTTGTGCATGGGTAGGGCTATCTACACACCGTACTGTTTATACTCTAGAGCTAGTGTCACACATGAGCTACAGTTACCAGGTCAAGCAAACCCAGCTAGACCTATAGGGATGCACTGGATGAGCAGGCTAACTCCCATCTTTTCCACATCCCCCCTTGGCTTTCCTCCTGCCCCCCACCTCTGGGGTAGCGGGCGCGCAAATGATGGCTTAGAGTCTCAAGGGGGGTCTGAAATGGTCTAGGGGTTTGCAGAGGAGCAAAGGTGGGAAGCCATGGCTGGGATTGGTCACACCCACGCAGGGAGGGAGCTCTCCAGCTGCGCCCGCCGCTGAAGACAAGCAATGAGCCGAGGAGGGCCAGGGCTAGCTCAGCCTCTCCCCCTTCCTCCGGCATGCCCTTGTCTCCGGAGAGCAGCGGCAGGAGCCGGGGGGCTTAGCCCGGAGCACCCCGGGATGGGGTGGGAGCCCCAAGCCCGGCTCA